ATCATTTTACATTATCAATTTTGCCAAGAAACTTGACTACTAATTATATCAACTAATCACAATATGATTGATAATTTCCAATCAAATGACAAAAGTGAAGCATAAGCACAAACACCCTCAGCAACATAGCATTCTGAAAAAGAATAAAAACTAAAAAACTATTTACATGTGTAGTTCATCATATCTTATCATCATTAACTTATTTAATTTTTTAAATGTATACATGCCTATGATGATTAGAGGCGTAGCTTGATGGACATAATGGCGACGCCCACTCCAAATTTGGTAAAAACCTTTGTTTTGTACTTTTTGTAGGCAAGCAAGCTATGTAAAAATAATAACCAATTAAAACTGGGAAAAGCATTACCCAATGCAAAGGATGTCAAGAATGACATGTATTAGAAAGAGAGAGAGGCAAGTATTGAATGCTAACAGAAAATATCAGATTACATTGAACTGTATTAGAATACAAGTATTTATAGAGTTGGTTGCTCTAACTAACATAACAAACCAACCGAGGCACTACTAAACAGTATGATGTAAACTTATTCTAATACAGAACTTTTAGTCTACTACAAGATGTATATCTAACATCCCCCCTCAAAACTAGGGTGATTTGTTTGGATACTCAATCACACTAAGTTTTGTCTTTAAGTCAATAAATCTTGAGCTGGAAAGTGGTTTTGTTAGAACATCTGCTATCTGGTGAAGAAAGGGAATGTGATAGACTGCAAGTTGTTTTAGAAAGACTTTCTCCATGACAAAGAATAGGTCAATCTCCATGTGTTTGATCCTGGAATGCAACACATGGTTGTGAGCTAGCTGGACTGTACTTAAGTTGTCACAGTACACTCTGGGAATTGAAAATGGAACTTGGAGCTCTTTTAAGAGAAATTGAATCCAAAGGAGTTTTGCTGCAGTGTCTGCAAGACTTATGTACTCTGCTTCTGTTGAGGATCTTGCAACACGAAGCTGCTTCCTTGACCACCATGAAACAATATTTGTTCCAAGAAGTATGCATGAACCTGATGTTGATTTTCTGTCATTTGGATCAGATGCCCAGTCAGCATCACAATAAGCTGATATAGGAAGAGGTAGATAAGGGAATAGGTTTGATAACAATTCCATGATTAAAAGTGCCAGAGAGGTATCTGAGAATGTGTTTCACTGCCTGCCAGTGCTCCTGCAGTGGTTCAGCCATAAATTGACAAACTTTGTTGACAGCATAGCAAATATCAGGTCTGGTCAAGGTTGCATACTGTAACACTCCAACAATAGAGCTATAATGGGAAGGATTAGGGAGATAGTCATTGCCTTGCTTCAGAAGTTTGCAGGTGCTCACCATAGGGGTTTTGACCCGTTTAGAATCTAACATCCCAGCTTTATGTAAGATATCCCTGATGTATTTAGCTTGAGAGAGATGAAGACTGCCATCAGGAAGTTTGCGTGCCTCTATGCCAAGAAAGAAATCAAGATCTCCCAGATGTTTGAGTGAAAAAGAAGAGTGAAGTTTGTGAATCAGTTGTTTGATGACAGTAGGATTGTTTCCAATGACTAAGATATGATCAACATAGATAAGGATGTAGATTTGAACTCCAGAAGATAGAAAAATAAGTAAAGAGGGATCAGATTTGCTTTGTTTGAAGCCAGCATGGTAGAGAACTGAGGTAAGTTTGTGAAACCAAGCTCGAGGGACACTTTATATCCTGGGATCGGTGCACCATGAGGATGGTGTGCCCGAGTCCCAAACGGTACCGTTTTTGTTAAAAATACACAAATCCTCCTCCCCCTCTGCATCACTTCGTCCCTTGCGCAGCTCTACCTGCATCATTCGGACCTTAAGTTTGCAGATGGCCGTCCTCCTCCCTGAGCTCCAATCGAGTTGAGGCGCGCGCCACGATGATTTCACAACGCGGATGTTGAAATCTCATCTCCGTCGCAGGACTCGCAGATCCATTTAGGAGGCTGTTCATCTGGACTTGCTGGTGTAGCTATATGCTAGTGTGTATTTTTGGCCGGAAGTTACATGTCCGTAAGGGCGTTTTACATTTCAAAGGACTGAAGTTACATCTCCCAGGTTACATCTGACTTGCTTCCGAGTTGCATTTCAGTTAAAGGAATTTACATTTCAACGAGTTACATCTGAATGAGTATAATTTACATTTTGATAAACCTTAAGTTACATATGGATTTACACGGTTTACATTTGATATAACCTTGGGAGCAGGATGCTCACCATGCACCGCTCCCACGGTATAGCAACTGAGCTCGAGGAGCCTGTTTAAGGCCATATAAGGACTTATGAAGTTTACAGACTAGAGATTTGTCCTCAGCTTGGAACCCTGGGGGCTGAACCATGTAAACCTCCTCATCCAATTCACCATTCAAGAATGCATTATTTACATCAAGTTGTTGTATGGACCAGTTGTGAGAAATAGCAAGGGTTAGAAGAATTCTGATAGTAACAGGCTTCACCACAGGAGAAAATGTTTCCCCAAAATCAAAATCATACCTCTGATGAAGACCTTTAGCTACTAATCTAGCTTTGTATTTGTTGAGAGAACCATCAGGGTTTTCTTTGACCCTGTAAACCCACTTGCAACCAATAGACTGCTTATCTGGAGGAAGAGGAACAAGAGACCAAGAGACCAAGTTCTGTTAGCAATCAAAGCATTGTATTCACATTGCATGGCTTCTAGCTAATGAGGAGAAGAGATGGCCTGTTTAACTGATTTAGGCTTAGTATGAGTTAACAGTAAGGTAGGATGAAGTCTGGGTTTTACTATTCCTGACTTAGCCCTTGTCCTCATAGGATGTGTGTTAGTCAAAGGAACTTGAGAAACTGGAGTAATAGGATGAGAAGATTGGTGATCAGAATCAGGAGGAGGTTCAATATTTTGTAGAGTGGGAGATGAGGAAGCAGATGATTCATGAGAATCAGATGAACTGTGATCATTATAAGATGATGATTGATTGTCATTAGAATCATTGGAAGATGAATCTGGAGAAGAAACTGACCGAGTGTCAGAAAGGTTGTTTGAAGTAGATGGAAGAGAATGAATACTTATAGGGACAGAAATAGGATTTGGATTGATAGGTAAAGTAGAAGGAGAAGGATTAGAAGAGAACATAGTAGGATAAGGAAACTTTGACTCTTGAAAGACAACATCCTTAGAGATGTATATTTTACCAGAAGAGGACAAACATTTATAACCTTTGTGACTAGGTGAGTAACCTAGAAAAACACACTCCTCAGAATGGAAATCAAGTTTATGTTTATGATATGATCTGGTGAAAGGAAAGCAAGCACATCCAAACACTTTGAGAAAAGAGTAATCTGGATTAGAACTATACAGTTTGAAATATGGACTTGAATTAGAGATGGATTTTGAAGGACTTGTATTCTAATAACATGAAACCTAAAGCACAAAAGAAGGGCAATGAGAGAGCAAGAGCATGAGTTCCCATGTCAGACACCTACGAATTGGTATCACTGCGTATTGGAGAGGAGTCCATTTAATAAACAAATAAATTAGTTAAGCTGATGTTACAACGTGATGACTATTTGTGTTCCAGGGCTAATCCAGTTGGGCATGCAACACACTATAACCTGGTAGCATCCATTCACTTATTCCTCACTTTCCCTTCGTCTTCCCTGGTTCTCACGATGTTGCTGCTCTGCGAAAAGTCCAAGACTCATACTCTAAACACAGTAAGTCGAAGTTTGTGAGTATGAATAAGCTTGATGATGCAATTTTTTGTACTGTCACATGGTTAGCTATGGGCGGGGAGGGAGAGGATTTGCGTAAACAAGAACTAGATTCCCCGTATCTTCAAGCTTGATTCTGTTCGCTGGATGTATTTGGACATTAGGGACTGCAGGAAGTCCGTCACCACAAATTCATGGTGTTACCGGAGAGAGTTGAGACCATTGTTAAATCAAACCTTCAAGGGAAAATGTGGAAGGTAATCTCATAAGAAAATCCCGCCAGATATGTCTCTTCCAACATGCATAGGCAGTTCTATTTCTAGACGAGATGTAATTTCTATAATGGCGTGCGTAACGGGCGGAAATTAACTTGCTAATTTCCAAAGGACTAATATGAAAAAATGTACAATTTTATATACTAAGAGGACCAGGATGTCGACTTAGGTTGTTTTTACTTGGACGTAACTCATCCCAAACCAAAACATACCAGACCAGACTAAAACAGACCATACCATACCAAACCATACCATACCATACCATACCATATTTCATTATTATTATTGTTGTTGTTGTTCTTATTGTTGTTGTTGTTATTATTATTATTATTGTTATTATTGTTATTATTGTTATTATTCTTCTTATTGTTATTATTACTACTATTACTATTATTATTACTACTACTACTACTACTACTACTACTACTACTACTACTACTACTACTACTACTACTACTAGTAGTAGCAGTATTGTTATTGTTGTTATTATTAATACTTGTACTATTTTATTATTGTTATGTATTTGTATGATCTGCTTTGGTCTGAGATTGAAATCAATCCAATTAAAACGATAACAATTTTCGATAATTCGAAAGGAATATTATTATTTTTAATTATAAATGAATAAAATATACTTATTAATGGATCACAATATATATAAAAATAAATTCTTTATGCAAAAAATATAAAAAATAAAATTTCAGACCAAACCAGAGTCACCAGACCAAAATAGACCAGATCAGACCAGATTAAAACAGACCAGATCAGACCAATAAATTACAGTCTAACTGTCTAAGTAAAAACATCCTTAACATGTCATAATTTGATTGGATTGAAATGGGGATGTACCCGTACCTTCTATTTTTAATGATGCACCATAGATTTTTCTAGATAATTTAGTCAGTTTTAATCCCGTCGGCCGATTACCATACCCATGTGGCCGCCCACGTGTCTTTCTTTACTGTTTTTCTTTTTATTTTGCATTTTTTCCCCTTTTCTTCTTCTGTCCTTTTCTCTGCTCCTCCACCTGCCCACATCCCTTCTCTCGGCTTAGCCAAGTCCGTCCTCCGCTCAGCATCCATGTCCGAACAGATTTTCCTGGTGAAATCCTAGGTCTGCCGCCGAGCGCTAAAATGGAAGCTTCAAACCTCCACACCTATCGCCGAACCAGGTCACTTCATAGTAGCCACACTGCCCCAAACCTCAACATTCAAATTTGTTTTCCTTTTCTTTTAGACACGGGCCTCTGCATCTTCATTAATGGAAGATTTCGTTTTATATCTCCACTCGTTATGGATTTTCTCTCTTCCGTATTCCTCTTTTCTTCTTCAATTTTAATTTTTCTCTTTTCTTTCCTTCTCTATTTTCCTATTCCCTTTTCCAATTGAGGAATTACCAGACAACCACTTTGTCAAGAACAAAAAGATCTATTGAGGATTAAATGGCCGTCGAAGTCCTCACTCGAATCCAGAATATCTGTAGGGTATTAAAATGGCTGCCGTGCCTCTTGGTTCAAGTAATGAGGAACGACGAAGATTTAAATTCACACTCCTCTCATTTGCAATGGAGCCAAAGACTCACTATATTTTGGGAATATAATGGAATAAAGCAAAATGACTCACTAAACGATCTGACCTTCTTTGTTATGAAGCAGTAGTCTCTAATTTTCGATGTGAATTTCACTATGGGTCATCCAAAAACAGTCTCTTTGTGCTTTAGTAAAAAGGTAAGACTGCGTAAATCTGACCCATTAGAGACTTTGCGCCACTGGGGTAATGATGATGATTATGACTCCTCTCATCTCCCATGTATGCAGAGGAGGTAAAGGGAAGAGGTAACGGGTGGGGCAGAAGGATAAAGGAGGGGAGAGAGAAAGCAAGAAAGAAAATGAAAATGAAAAAGAATAGAAATGACAAACAGTGTCATCTAATACTCCGTAATTCCGTATGTTTTTGATGTTTGTAAATTGTTTTTTATTGTATGCTTCCTCAGTTCGTGTGAGCTTCACAGCCTTCACTTCACTTGTTTTCTTTCATTTTATGCATTCCTTTTTTAAACACAGGAATATTCGTCAATGGACTTGATCTGAGAGCTGGCTTCAACTTCACCTCTCAAACACTTCTCTAGTGTCGCTGCTCCTCATCACATTCATCAGAATGAGCGAACGAAATTCATGGAAGTTATTGAAGCAACTCGAGCATATATTGGAGTCAGATCCATTGATGTAAGCTTTAAGAAATTTCTGGTCCAGACGTAGATTCATTTTTATGCAAAAGAATAGCTCAAAATTGTAAATAAGTTTAGGAACTACTCCGTAGTTTATAGGTGGATTATCATTAAACCATTAGTATTCTTTCTCATTTGCTTTATATGATGCACATTGATGAAAATTTGCAATACACTGTAGCCATGGTATCGATGTGTGACATCAGGAATCGGTAAAATTTGAGAATCATACATAAATTTTTCTTAATGAATATGGGCAACTACTTGCTGAATCTTGTGCACCCTACTGCTTACAATATCTCATTACGATTTTATTAGAACCATAAATAGATTAATAGTTAATTTAATGTATGAATTTTCTGCCAAGACTGCATCTTTGTAAATGTCTTAAACTTCATAACAGTTTCAGTGCTGAAATTTCCTCCTTATTGTTATTGTTGCTCATGGGAACTGTATCTGGATCTTTAAGGTTCCGTTTGGGTAGTCCGTAGTCCATTTTCGATAATTCTGGTATCGGTATAATCATTAGCTTTTGACTTATTTCGCTGTAATAGATGTTAGTATGTTACCAAACACTTCACCTTTGACAAAATTCAGCAAACTCTGCCGATTTCAGCCACATAACTGTTACCAAAACGGCCCTTAATGTTTTGATCATACAGGAAAACAGAAAACAGTAATTTTTTAACATAATACTCCCTCCGTCCCTTAAAACTTTGCCAACTTTCCTTTTTTAGTTGTCCCATTAACTTTGCCACTTTCCTTTTTAAGTAAAGAATTGTGTTTCCAGTTAATTCTCTCTCATCTACACAAACCTCAACCACACAGTTTTTACTTTGTTAATTCCTGTGCCGGTCAAACTTGGCAAACTTGCCCCTTACCCTTACGACTGTACTTCAACCTTGGGGCCTAGGTAGTAGGCTTTCTACTGAAAGTATTGTCATTTCATTCAACTTGGTCACATTCTCTCATTTTATCATGTATCCAGTGATGAAATTGGATTTGTTCATCCATCTCAATTTGATGCTCTGAATGAAGACAGTGGCAATACATCCTTGTCTCATGACTCAGTGCTTCAACCATCAGACAAAACTGTCGTTTCTAGTGATTTTTTTTGGAGCTGTAAACATAAGTTGGGGGTCTCAACCTCCGCTCTTCTTCCACTGTACAAAGCTGCAAAAGATGCATTCATGGATTCACTGAGACAATATAAAATGCAAACTGGTATAACCAATGATGAATCTGATCAGGGCAATACATCAAAGTTCCCCTCATCATCTTCTCTTACTGTTCTTGAGAATGAAGTGATGAAACATAGCAGAGCAATTTTGCTCCTCAGCTGTGATTTTGGCACCGCATGGAATTTCAGGTTATTAGGTTCTTCATAAACAATTGTTTATCCTTTTAAAAAATTAGTGTTATTTTGTTGTTGTTGTTTGCATTCTCTCCTTGAAACATTGAACGTTAAAGCCAAGCAAAATCTCCAAGAAAAGTTTAGTTTCATAGATTGATGTCTAAAACATGTTTCCACCATTATATAGGGAAAGTTCCCGAAATAGGACTAAAACAATTTGAAAATTCTAAAATAGGGCTGTCATGTTTTTTATTCCGAAAATAGTAGTAATTACTGCCAAGTTTAGAATATACTGCCATGTTTGAAGTCCGGTACTGCCAAAACATGGCATTAATTAGTCCTATTTTGGGATTAAAAACATGACAGTCCTATTTTGGAATTTTCAAACCTTTTTAGTCCTATTTCGGGTAATATCTTCATTATATAATGCTTTTTTTAAATTTCATGTATTTTTCTTTTGTTATTCACATCATTTTCTTATTAGTCTCTCTCGATCAACCTCTATTGGAAAATTTGACATGTCTTAGAACCCTAGAATTCGATCATGACCTTTTCTCATCATTTTAAGAGATGCTAAACATTTTTTCATAGAGAGTTAGAGAAGTGTCAATTGAGAGTGGATTGTTGAGTTTTGCTTAGCCGTGATAGTCACTGATGAGTTTAAGGCTATGTTTGGATGATCGTTTCAGCTCAAAATGAGCTGAAATTTGATCTATCCAGATAGTTGATTGACATGTTATGTTTGGATGATCATTTTAGATTTTCAGTTCAAAATTAAATGAAATTTGATCTATCCACATAATTAATTGACATGTAGCCTTGTTTGGATAAAGAGCTGAAATTGACTGGATCTAAAATTAATCAGCTGATTTGAAACATTACTAATCGTAGTATTTAACTACAACCCTTTAATTTACCACAAGCTTATGTCAACTTTACCCTCTTGTTATTCAACTTTTATCTAGTTCCTATTAAAATTTGTTTATATGGTAATTTTAAATTTTCCCCTCGTTATTTCAGCCCTGAGCCAAATACGTCTACTTCGGGGGTGTTTGGATCTATTTCTTAAAGCTACTTCTCCTTCTTCAAGGAACCGAAATGGATATTTGAGTCTTTGAGTGAGTGTAAAAGTACTTCTGAGGGCTCCAAGATGCCCCTAGAAGCAGTTTGTTAGAAGTTGGGTGAGACCAGGTTCTGAAAACGGATTCTGATTCTATTTTTGCTTTCAAAAAGAAGTAGAAGTAGAATCGATTCCAAACACTCTCTTCATTGATCTATCATTTCACTGTCAGCAACTTCTATCTAGCTTCAGAAAATAGTCTCTAAACTACACAATAGACTTCAGTTTTAGGTTTTTCTTCCAAACATATCCTAAGAGAGTTGACATGGAAACTCCTTGAGCACTTGAGCCAGGTCAATATTTTTTTAAAGGTTGATGGAGACGGAGTACATGAAAATGGCGTAAATTATAGGGATAACAAATAAATGTTAGAGACTCAAAATAAAAGACGCTATGTTTACAAGTACAGATAACATATTGAAGTCTTCAGAGAATTATATAATTGATGATTTACCATAGTCGTTTTAATGTTGAAGATAAAGTCATTCAGTGCCTCTTGTTTGCTCTCTATAAAAGAAAGATTGGGTTCTTAACTTGCAGGAAACTACTTGTTTCAAGGCGTTACCAGTACTCGATTTTCATGGAAGAACTGCATATGTCAGATCTTGTCCTCTCATATTCACCTAAAAGTGAAAGAGCATGGAGTCATAGGTAACCTTAGATTTTGATAATACATCATTCTATTACTGTTAATCTTTCACAGTAACAATAGTCCCTCCATCCTCAAAAAGGAGTATTGTTTGACCAAATTATAATATTTTGTTTTGGTAAGGTACACCATTATAAAAATGATACATATATTCTAAAAACTTCTATGATAGTTTGACTTTGGGACTCCTTTTTTGGGGGACAAAAGACGCATATAAAATGGGATGGAGGGAGTACCATGTAATGGGTGTGGTTAGGACATGAAAATACGAATACTGAAAAATAAGTAATTGGAAAAATAACTTGGCTTCCCGCCCTAGACAAGGAAGCATCTCTCAGTACCACCAAACGCATAAGAAGAATTGTTTCTCCAAAAGTTTGACCATATTATTAATGAATTGAACACCTCTATTTATACTAGTTCTAACTTCTAAGAGTGTTGGTGGTTCGGTATCTAAGTAACCCTAAACCTATTGCAATACTTCTATGTTGTTGACTCCTTTTGGGCCACACATACATACGGCACACGAAGAGTTGAAAGGCCCGGGAGTCAATGACTCGAAGTGGCCGAACATGGAAACTAGGATATTGCTTCCTAATATTATAATGTTTCCTTGGAAACGTTTCCTAGTTTTGTTTCTAATTCTTGTTTCCTTTCCTATTCAAAATTCTGAGCAACCTCTCTATTTAAAAGAGTTTTGATAAGGAATAAAGTACTTTTTTGGAGAATTAATGTGTGTCTTGACTCTTGACAAGGTTGGGTACCTATTAATTAGAATCATAGTAGTCGATGGCGCAATATGGCGCGCCATGCGCCATGCGCCATGTGGCGCGAAAAACCCTCTGCGCTATGAAAAGGGGCTGTGGCGAGGTGTATACACATGGCGTCGCCATTCCTGCGCCTTCGCCATGGCGATGCGAATGTTTTTTTGACAAAATGGGTCCGCGCAAGGTTGTCAAGATCGCAGCTTGGATCGGAAATTGCAGCCAGATCGCCGGATCGACGAGTTCACTCGTTAGATCGCGGAATCGTCGATCTCCTTCGATCTGCGTCGTTCGTGTCTGTAGGGAAAGAATACGACGCACAGAGTCGGAATTCCGAAACGAGGCTATGGTTGGAAATCGGAAATGACGTAGACTGAAAGAAGCGACTCAAGTTTTAAAAAAAATAATGACCTGCGAAGATCCAACTCCCCAAGGCGACGCCTTCTTCAGTGTCGCAGTGTGGCCTTCTTCATTCGTATTCTTTAACGCTTGTTTTGTTCTTCTTAGAAAACGTTTTTTTCCTTTCTCCGTTACATCTCTCCATTACATCTTCTAGGACTTAAGATTTTTATTTACAAGCTGATTTTTTCAATCCTTTTTCCATATTTGTATTTTTTGTTTTGCGGATTATTTTATACCATTGAAAAATGACATTATGATTAATATTTGAAATTTTTTAAGTTTAAATATATATCTACACACACATATATATATATATATAAATATGTATCTAAATACATACATACATACATACATATATATGATAGTTTTGTTTCTATGATAGTTTTGCAGTATCTATTATTCGTTTTGAAGGTTTTATTTTTTTTTTGTCACGTGGCGACGCCATATTTGCGCCATCGCCATCGCCATGGAAAATGGCCTGTGCGCCATGGGTTGCGCCATGCGCCATGACAACTATGATTATAATGTTTTTATTTGGACTAATTTCAGCCAGAGACCAGACCAGACTTAAACATGTCAGTCTAGATCAAATCAGGCCAGATCAGTCTTAAATAGACCAAACCAGAAAATTTCAGCCCAATTTAAAACGTCTTAAGAATAGCTTCGTTAATTCTGCCAACTGTCTTTCTCTTTCGCGATTAGTCTTTCAAACGCATCATTGGACTAGGACTAGCTGACTAGCTCTGACGTTCTTAACAATTTGGTATCAGATATGGCCTTGCCGAATGACTTGGCAGGAAACCCACTAGCTTTCCCTGAGATGAGTAAAACTGTTGCCAACCTTTCATATGCTGCCAACCAGTTGCTGCCAGACCCTCCACCATCCAGTCCACATTCCGGACAGCCACGGTACACAGATCATCACCAATGTGACTCAAATGATGGCATGGTTCCACGGTTCTCGAAGTTGGAGTTTCCCCAATACTTCAGAACCAGCGATCCAATAGCTTGGGTGAAGCGCTGCGAGCGGTTCTTCACCCAACAACGCACCCAACCATAGGCACAAGTAGGTTTGACTACTTTTCACATGACCGGTAATGCCCCACTCTGGGCAAACTCTTTTGATCCAATAAGAGCATGGTTTCCCTGGATATAGTTCTATATTCGTCGCTCAAAATGATTTGCCCGCCCCCGAAAAGCAATAACAGGGAGTGTCATCTGGTGAATTTAAGGCAAACGTTGACTTCGAATCTTATGCCGCCAAGTTTTAGCTGTTGCTAGCTCGGGCAGCTGGAGTATCGAATACCACGAACCCATCGATCTTGACACAATCATGATGCTTGCCAAAAGCAACGAACGCAAATTCCATGTGGCTGCGACCTCAACAAACTAGTAACTATGGATTAGCTAGATCTGGAATTCAAATTCATCCTCACTCAAATCACTCAATTCTCACCGAGTCTGCATAGGTAAGAAAAATTACAACGCTACATTTAAAAAATTAACCCGGTCTGAAGCAGCTGCATGACAAGAAAAGGGATTATGCTATACCTGGATGAGAAGTGGATCTGTGGCCACAAATGCAAATGATATTTTTTTGTCATGATCTTGGTCGATGAACTCGGAGATTCTTTGACACCCAAACTGAGCTCTCAGTGTCACTCAATACAATGACTGGGTTTGCGACACATTTCACCATGCAACCGGATGCAACCTTGTCTAGCCAGTCCCTTACGGTTTTGGTCGACACGGGAAGTACTCACAATTTTACCCACCAACGCTGGATCCCATCATTGGTACATGTTAGCGATTTTCGTTCACTATATGTATTGTTGGTGCCCAGTTATGGTATGGTTTTGGGCATTCAATGGCTTTGCGGGCTTGGCTCCATCCAATGGAACTTCTCAAAACTATCCATGATGTTCACCTGGAGTTATGGTACACTTTGGTGATCTCTTTCACACTCCATACGGCTTCCACCACAGCTCTTGCATGTGATCACCACATTACTTTATTCCCTGGCATGGGTCCTGTTGTGGTTCGTCTGTGCTGCTACCCTTATTTCCAAAAAGATGAGATCAAAAATCAATGTGCTGACCTTTTGTCAAAGGGGATTATTCAACCAAGCCGCTCTTTGTTCTCCTCTCCGGAGTCTGGTCCTCCTCATACATAAGCCAGACTTGGTGTTCTTGCATCGACTATAGAGAGTTAAACTCCAAGATTGTTGAGGACAAATTTCCCATTCCGGTGATTGATGGACTATTTGATGAGCTTCACGAAACTGCCAGGATGGTAGGATCACATTGTCAGTGTTGCCTTCGCTCAGTAGCGTATACCAAACTGATTGACACCACACTGCCAGGATATTAACATTCCATTGCCAAATGAATGTCCTCTTGAAGTCTGGCTGTAAACTAGTGTACCTGAAATCGGGAAGGTAAGCCTGAAATGTGTTCCAATAAACATGAGAACTGGCTGATATATTCATTGACTATACCTCTTTGTCGTAGTTGGAACAATTTGTCTTTGAAGATGGAGCTTCTAACATATTCTCATGGTGCAGCAGATCTCATGGATATATTTCCTATGAAATTCCAGGTTTGCAGCAATTGTATCTATGAAGGAATCAAAGTTCACCAAATCTTATAGCTCAATCCCACCAGACTTCAAAACTTGAATATGTTGAACAGACTTGTCCGCAGAAACATAATTAGAGATAGAGACAAAATGTTCGAGGGTTCATTTTTCCCTGATTATTTTCTGGATTTCCCCTCTTTTTCTGAACTAGTCGAGAGATGCAAATGATTAACTAAAAGCAACTCACGCACAAAAAAACAAACAAAAATACGCAGCACCAAACCCTATACCAAAAGGATGACTAAGCACGCAGTACTCTAATTAGGAGGTAGAATCAACCTTCAAAACTGCTAAGAACAAGAAGGCAGAACCCTTGGTGTGCTCTAGTAAATTGGCTATGTTTAAAGAAGATAACAAGTGAACTACTTTTTTGTGGTTGGGTTTGTGCGGAAGAGGTATCTGGTCTGCGCAGGATTTTTGTTTTGTTTTATTCTTGAGATTTTACGCAGAAAATAAAAAAGATATAAATGGTTGGGAAGAAGATGAAGAGTTAGGAAGGAAACGACTCTGGTTCCAAATTGTTCTGGGCATGGTTGGGAGAATGAGAGATGAATTAAGATTGAAAAAGTTATGTAATTGGAAAAATAACTTAGCTTCCTGTCCTAGGAAAGGAAGTGTCCTGTCTGTTCCACCACGTGCACAAGAAGAATTAGTTCCCCAAAGATTACCTATTATGATGGGAAACCACTACCACTACCACTACCACTACTAATAGTAATAATCAAAATATAGAATAATAATAGAAGCCTTTCTCTGCCCATATTATATAACTTTTGAAACTATTATAAGTTATTACAATGACTAAGAAACACAGTTTGTGATATTTCTTTTTATTTTTATTTTATTATTTTGTTATATTTTGTTATAACAAACATAATCTTTTCAAACTTATGAGGTACTTTAGAAAAAAAAATTACAAAACTTCGAAGGAGCATAAGTAAAAATCAGAATAGAAAATACATTATGAACAAAAAGAAGGAAGCCTAACTAGGTGGGCTAGGGGCTAGGCAGCAATCCACCAACCACTAGTTCATATCAATTTTTTGCACATTGGGTGGGTATAATGAATTACTTAAGTGTTGATAATTGTCTTATTCTTTATTTATGTCTATCTTGTAGCGACATTATTCGCTACAAGATATGGAACTGCATTGTTTATTTTTTTCATTTTCAAATTATGATATAATTCTTATGCATGCTAAATAATGGTAGGAGATGGGTGATCAAGATGGTTGCTGGAAAGTATTCCAATCTTGAAGAGATAGTGGACAGAGAATCAGAGTTTGTGAAAAAACTATCTGAGGTTTTATATTGGGCATAAACTGGGGGGGGGGGGGGGGGGGGTAAACGCATTTATTAGTATAAGACTGATTGATGCACGTATTGGGATAATTACTTGGATTTTTATGGACTTCTTTTTAAAACAGTAATAAACACTGGTTGTCTTTGGCTCAATGCTATTTTCAGAGGTCAAAAATGAATTACCGTGCATGGAGTCACCGTTGCTGGTTAGTAGCCTACATGTCAGTAGGTCAAGTAAGTGACTTGCTGATGCGTCTGTGCCTTAAAACACACTTTGTTTAATCAACAATTGCAATTTACTCATTGGAAAGTAGTAGATGAAATATTAATATGTTTCTTGTTCTTCGAATATTAATAAGCGGAGCTGTCTGAGTAGATGATAGAAAGGACTGAAAAGAAAATAACTGAAATTATCAACTACAAAAATAATTTTATGGCATGTAAAAAGGCGCTATTCACAGTGATGAAAAGTATGTTTAATCCTTAAGAATTGCATTTATGCATCCAGCAAAAGCTTGTTCTAACATTAGTTATTTTGAGACATAATACCCCGATTCTTCATAATGTTACTTATTCCAAATACTTACTGTTTCAACGCGTTTAACTTTTCCAGGGTTTCACATCAACCAACCCCCTCAAAAAAAATTAACGAGTAAAATTGAAGAAAGAGAAAAGACGAGTACATTGTTGTAGTTGTGTGCCAAATAACATTATTCAGGTTTTAAGGTTGCATACATTTTCTTTTCTCCAGTTGCTTGGTGAGTTAAATAAGTCTCAAGAGTGGGCTGGACTTCACGTTGCTGACAACTCTTGCTTTCATTATCGTGCTGTGAGTCTCGCATAATGATCATTCACGTGGCATCTGAAAGATATAAACTCACTGTTTTTTTTGCAATTCTTCTGCCTCACATGGATTATATAAATGCACCTAAAATTGTTCTCTACACAAAACTTATAGTTTATGTTTAAATTGGATTGCACATTTGCGATGCATTTCGGGAAGTTGGTAGTCTCTAGCCCATCACATGCATCTAGCAATTTTCTTTTTATAATGATTAGTGTCTGTTACAACATCCAAGCCTTAGTCCCAAAAGATATTGGGGTCGGCTAACATGAATCGATACATGATATCACAACCAAAAGGAAAAGAAGGAATAAAGATAAAAAGATAAGCTATTATGAAAAGATAATATAAAAAAAGATGAATATATATATAAATGATAAAATAAAAAGGCTGCAAATAATGCTTATATATATATAAGGATAAAAAAAAACTAGGAAAAAAAAAGATGAGGGAAAAAGATCACTCCTTCACGTGAATACCCACCCTCCACTTAGTTCTCTCCAAAGTCATGCCCTCATCCAACCCCAGAAGAAGCATATCACTTCGAACTCCCCTAACCCACGTCTGTTTGGGTCTTCCTCTCCCTCTCTTCCCTGCCTCTTCTCCACACATCTCAACTCGCCTAACAGGTGCATCACTCGGTCTTCTACGCACATGACCAAACCACCGTAGGCGCGACTCCCTTGTTGTTGTTGTTGTTGTTGTTGTTGTAATGATTAGTGTCTGTTTGATGCCACCTTTCTGGTCAGGATCCGTATCAGAATCAGTCCTAGTCACTATGGGCCTTTAACCGAGTAGCTACTATGTGTCTGTGTAACAATTTAATTTCTTAGCTTCACACTGCTGGCTGAATCGATATCAAGTGTCATACAAATTAAAGCGGTGTCAAGGGTGCATTATCTGTTGGATCTGTTGAAACAAATGGAAATGTCACTTTACGCGCATGTTTAGATGTCATTTGCTTTATTTTATTATTAAGAAAATATCTTTCAAGTGTTTTATTGATAGTTGAGTAGGTTCGGTCAGTTCAGCAAAATTAGCAGCAGCTTCCTCAAATGAGGTCACCAGTCATTCGACCAAATTTATACTTTTGCAAACAGGCTCTTAATTATTTTGCCCACGTACACACTGCCATTAGACTCCCATTAGGTTGAGCTACAGTTCAGTTCGAAAAGTAAGTACTTTCAACTATATAAGTCAATATGAGTTCCCCAAAGATGAAAAAGAATATAGCCCTTGTTGGTCACTTTCATTTATTTATTTGAGTTGTCTTGAACACGTTACCGTGCTTTAAAATTACCTGTATGAACTTGTAATGGACTTGTTCTTTTGTTTTTGCTGAACGAGCAGTGCTTAATGCTCAAGATATTAGAAGCTTTCCTTAACAAAGATCAAACTGTATGCTTCGGTGAAGAACTTCATGTAACTTGGAAGGTACCGTGCAGTATATAAAGTTGAAGTTTTATTGAATAACATCTGACCTTCTACAAACAAATGGTCTTTGATGTAAACTTTGAAAAAAGTTAGATTGTAGCGTATCTTGTCAGCATTTCTTATTTAATTGTCTCTTCATTTTATCTATCCTTATCCCAGTGCTTTTGGTTTTCCAGTAAATAGAAAATTAAAAAAGGTTAAAAGGAAGACTAGCAAAATAAAAAGCAGAGTGTGATAGGCAAGGTTGATAAACCGGCCGTCTTGACTTCCATCACTTTGAACCGCTAGTTGCAACTTAAGTACTTAAGTAGCTAAGAGTAATATTCAATGGCCCTTTTGATTAAATGGTAAATGCTAAAAACATTATTTGGTGTAGTCTTTCAGTTCTTTGAGACGTTCTGAACCTGATCTACCTCTCCCCCATATTCCTTTTACAGGAGGAGCTTGACTGGGTTGAGAAGTTGATAAAACTTTATGTGGGTAGAGAGGTATACTTGATCAATCTATCATCACTCATTACCTTTACTTTCGTTAAAGTTCTAAGATATATTTTTAGTGTTTAGCTAGAAACATGTCATCAATAAAGGAGTGCCACGGTTGCTAGTTGTCATGTATCCTGCGTTGCTTGTGTCTTGGGGCAGAATCTAGTATATAAACGTGTTGCATATTCCACATAGGGTATATATTAGGCTTTAGTCTTGTATTCATCTAATCATAAGATAAATATCACTTCCTTAGGTGGGGTCGTGCTTGAATTTGTTCAAAAGTGCTCTGTTCGTTAATAGCCATTTTAAAATTAGGAAATCTTACTGGTCCTTAAAATTTAACCTATACTCAGTAGTCTCAGTACATAAATAGGTTATATATTAGGCTTTTAGTCTTGTATATATATAATCATAAGATAAACTTCACTTCCTTAGGTGGTCGTGCTTGAGTTTGTTTGTAGGTGCTCTGTTCGTTAATAGCCATTTTAAAATTAGGAAATCCCACTGGTCCTTAAAATTAACCTATACTCACTACGTAAATAGGTTATATATATTAGGCTTTGGTCTTGTATATATATAATCATAAGATAAACTTCACTTCCTTAGGTGGTCGTGATTGAATTTGTTCTGAAGTGCTCTGTTCGTTAGTAGCCATTTTAAAATTAGGAAATCTTACCGGTCCTTAAAATTAAACCTACACTCAGTACATAAATAGGTTATATATTAGGCTTTAGTCTTGTATGTATATAATCATAAGATAAACTTCACTTCCTTAGGTGGTCGTGCTTGAATTTGTTCATAAGTGCTCTGTTCGTTAATGGCCATTTTCAACTTAGGAAATCTTATTGGTCCTTAAAATTTAACCTATACTCAGTACATAACTAATCTCTACACATTATAGGTATTCCATAGGTCCAAAAATTGATTGGTCCAAACACTTGTATGCTCTGTGTTGGTGTTTGTGGCACGCCAAGCTCCACATATTTGAGCTCAATTTGAACCGATTGAGAACTATAAATGTGACTGAAGTGACTAGATGCTCCATCAATTCAAGTTTTCAAGCTGCCTTGGCTCTAGTTTATAACTGTGTATCAGAGTCCAGCTGGAGTCATTTTTAAACAATAGCACCATAAAGCTTGGCTTGATAAATACTTCCTCCGTTCGGTTATAAGTGCAACATGCACTTGGGCACGAAAATTAAGACACCAAGTAAAGGTTTTGAACTTCACTATTTTACCCTTTGAAAGTACGAAAAGGCAGCCACAAAAAAGAAGTGCTACAGTAACCAACAGTGGAAAGAAGACAGCACGCCCTGGTGTTTTCACCTTCCCCCGCTTAGCCAGCTGCTCATCGGAACTCGGAAGACCCCTCTTGAATCTCGCCTAAACTCCGATAAGCGGCTCCCTCTCACCCCAGCGTGAAGCCAGCTCAACAACCCCCTCGTCCGCTTCCGCCAATCGTCATCCTACGTGAACAATGATCCGACCGTCGCAGCAGTCGGCCGCCGCCTAGAGGCAACCATTACCACCATGTCTCTTAGCTCTTGGGGGAGTAACAGCAACAAAATCGGTTTCATGTCCTTCCATTTCTTCCATTTCGGTCGTAATTAAAATCCGAATCAAAGAAAAGAAAAAAACGAGGGAGAAGATGGGGGAAGAAACAGAGAAATAGCTGAGTTGGTGAAGATAGTCACAGATGAGGACATGCACAAATGGAAGAAGGTGGGGTAAAGAGGAATGGAATCAGTGGGTGGGTGGGTATTGGGTGGTGAGTAAAGAAATTAAAGAAAATTTCAGAAAACGGAAGAGGTAGGCCGTAAATAATGAGGGGCATAGAAGTCCTTTCGTTTAGTAGTTCTTTCCCAAAATAGAAAGGTTGCATTTATTTTGAAACTGCTGAAAAAGGAAAGTGTTGCACTTATTTAAGAACGGAGGAAGTACGTGAATATCAATCTAGAGCTCACTTTGTTAAGCTTCAAAGTCGAGCTTGGATATGAAAGTTCCATTTGAAGCTAGATGGACACAAATAGATTATTATAAAAGCCCGCCGGATACAGAGATACTACGATCAAAGCCTCACATGCATCTTAAAACCATGTAGATACTATGATAGCAATAATTGACATTTGTACCTTTCCAGGCTTTGTGGCTTCACCGTCGCTTTCTCGCATCGTCCTGGGTAAAATATTTTGCTGCTTCTATGATGGGTACTTGTGATATTGACAAGTTCATAGATAATGAATTACAACTATTCAATTCCTGTGCAACAATAATTGATTGTAACTTCGAGGACTACCAATCTCAGGCAACATATGCTGCTACTTATATTATGTGGCTCCAGAAGGTAGCTTTCTATCCTCTACTCCAGAGTGGATCATCAAAACTCAAGAGTTTGTTTTACTTTAATTTTAATTCTTAAATCTGATATTAAATTTTGATAAAATGACATTTCAGTTTAAAATATATTAATACTCCCTCCGTATTTAAATGATCTCTACATTAGGTGTTGGCACAAGATTTAAGGAGAGAATAGTAGGGGTAATGAATAGTGCAGAAAAAGTAGGAGAGAAGGTAAAAAAGTAGGAAAAAGAAGATAAAAAGTAGAAAAGTAAGGGTAATTGAGTGTTTTTAAAGGAAGAACTTACCAAAAAGGGAAAGTGTAGCAAACTTTTAAATACGAAGGGAGTATTAATATACTATACTACGTATATGTTATAAAGTTCAAATTACATAATACGGAGTAAATATTATTGATTATGTTGCGTACTCGTTTTTTCCAGTTTGTAAAGTAATCATCTTTCTTGGTATCCAATTTGATACTTATCAATATTCCAATATTCCATCTGAATTCCATCTGGATTTTGAAAATGTGCATCATGGATTAAGGGATCTTGATATCTCTGCGATTCTTTTTCCAATGCATTTGCTGTATTTCCATTTTTATAAATCCTCAATTTTAATCAAAACTATCAATATTTGAATTACCACTTTGTGATAATATATTATATCCATTAATATCCATTATTTCTGCATTTAAGTGTTGACTGATTGTCCTGTTTTTAGCCTACATGCAACTGATGAGCAAAAATATCGTTTTATCCCAAATAAGTATTGTAAACAATAACACTACATTTTTCATTGAGATCACAGAATTCTTAAATATTTAACTCGAGATAATATATACTCCATATTTTCTAAGGTTGTGTTTTCTACGTCACAAGTTAGATTTAAGTTAGCTGTTAGCTTTTTTAAAGAAATCTACGAAAAAATGTCTTGGGTTGGCAAACTTATTTGATAAACCTGGACTTGTTTTATACGTAGTACATTTTTTTAGTTTTCAAGTTACATGAGCTTTCAATTTATAAAATATAAACATATCCTTTTTATGTCATTTTGTATTTCAAAACGAGCATATAAGCTATGGTCTACGAAACACTATGAAATCATCTTAGTTGTCAGTTATAACTTGTATTAATTATTAAACGTATCAGCCAATACCAGGAGTCAGGAGACTATCTCAAGGGCATTCTTGTAAAACGTGTTTATTTCTCTGAACATTTTCCTAGTACCCTCTTCCTACCTGCAAGGGTGGTAGTAGATTTTCCTGAACCTTTTCCCTACCACTCTTTCTCACCGTCCCTGTCATTACATACCAGTCCACAACAGGAGAGTGAGAGTGGATCACAGAACCCCTACCACACTTCTTAGGTTTTTCAACCCCCCTCCCCCCGCCCCTGTGACTATTTTATTCACAAGAAAGGGTTTGTTCTTGTGTCTTCACTCTTCAGCAAATCCTGGTGGAGCCTCTGGGAGTCGAGTGTCACGGGAAGCTACGAGTCAGTGGGCTGAAGTCATTGTTGAATAATGCATGCCCAGAGAAGGCTTTCCTTTGGGGGTCATTGCTTGATGTGTGTGGATTTGAATGATTAGCTCCCAACCCTGCTCTATAATGCATCTCATCTCTACCTTTTGATTTCACCTGAACCGGTTAAAAGGTGTCAGGTAATTGCTTAGGCGGTCCAAGGTGCACCGAGTCACGGTGGAACCAGTTCGTATACCGTGGGATCATCCCACGGTGAGCACCATGTTCCACCCCCAAAACGACGTAGTTTTGCACATTTTTTTTAAAAATTCGCGTGAACAGTACCCGCGTGAACAATTATTGTTTTTTTTTCTTTTTGTCCCAACAGCATGAATGATGCAACTCGCGTGAAATGTAACTGCAGGCAAATCTAAATGTAACTTGTCTAATACGGTTTATAACAAATATAACATTAATTTCAATGAAAATAAGGAATCTAATTGCTCATTTACTTTATGTAAATAGTGAATATGCTTTGTTTTTGATATTAAGACCATAAATAATGTTTTTTCTTCTTAAAATCATTTATTTTGCCAAAAAAATCATTTTGTTCGCTATAAAATATCTTTTTTTTGCAAAAAAGTGATTTTTTTGTTTGTTTCAATAGCAGGGGATTACATAAAAAGTGAACGTGTTCTGTTTTTTATATCGTCATAAAAATATTTTTAAAAAAATCACTTTTTTTGCTTAAGAATCATTTTTTTGTAATAAAAAATATTTTTTTTGCATAAAATTGATTCTTTTGTTTGAATAGCAGGGCTTTATGATGTGATGTAATTCATGTTATAGAAAATGTAACCCGCGTTGGAAAATCTAATTTAGGTGTATTCAAAATGTAACTTGTTAAGTCAAGTTTAAATGTAATTCACATATAAGAAAATGTAACTCACGCATAAAAAGATGTAACTCGCGAATAAGATGTAAATCCATATACTGTCAAATGTAAAGAATGAAAACAAGGAGTCTAATTGCTCAAATTAATTTACGTAAATAGTTAATATATTTTGTATTTAGTATTGAAGCCATAAAAATGTTTCAAATAAAAATAAATATTTTGCCAAAAAATTCATTCATTTTTGTTTGCAAAGTGTAAGTTGTAACTTGGTGAAGCAAATCCAAATGGACCAAATGTAACTCGTGCATAGAAAGATGTAACTCATGCACAAGAAAATGTAATTCGTTCATAAGAAGATATCAAAGAGGTAAGAAATATATATTTTTGCAAAGAGATAAGAAATATATTATAGAAAAAAAATTATGAATATGAAATATAAAAAATATTATAGAAAAAATATATTCTATTGTATTTTCTGTTCAAGATAAAAAAAGTAGAAAAATTGTATGATTATGAATACAATATACTTATTTTATGCGGATTAATAAAATTTGGTAATAATTTAGTAAAGAAAAAGTGTATGAATATAAAATACACTATTTTTATATTGTATGAATATAAAATTTGATGAATATACCCGTCCAACCCCGGACCCGACCCGTGACCCGGGCGGGTGGCCCGGCCCGAACCGGACCCGTCCAACCCTCGGGCCGGTCCCGGGCCCACTGTTCTTGAACCGGCGGCCCGACCGGGTCTAGGCCCGACCCGGGCCCGACCCGGCCTAGGCCCGGCCCGGGCCCGACCCGGCCCGAATCCATCCCTAGTATTGATAAAGAATAAAAAAATAGATTCAATTATTATTTAAGTTGAAGATAAAGAAAAGTAAAATTGCAATTAAATTTTTAGTATTTTAATTTGATGGAAAAGGAGAATAGTTGAAGAAAAGAAAAATAAAGAAAGAAAACCAAAAGAAAAAGGAACAATGCATGCTCCAAAAGGAAACAAAAAAGCAAAGTAATTGCCTAAAGTGAGATCGGCACACCATGCGGAAGGTAGGCCGATCCCACGGTATAATTTGCCCGGTGGAACGGGTCAAGATGGATTGAGGAGGTCAAGGTGCTCCGTGCTCCTTTTTTTAATATACTACGTATATAATAAAATACGTTTAAAAAAGAGGCAGAATTTGATGACAAAATCCCTCTAATTGCTTGTGTTATAGGCAATGTATACATTTTGTGTACACCAAGAATAACTCATATTTAAATTCTCCAATGTTACCGATTAGAATCGTATAGCTTTCACATATGGACCATGTGGTGACCGGCCATGATTTCTTTGTTTATTTTGTAAATTCTTCTAAACTTATTATAATATCTAGGCTAAAGGGTCAATAGGCCCATGTTCCCATCCGTAATGTTCAATTTGCCCCTTGAACTAAAAAAAACACCAATTAGCACCTTGAATTGGATAAAAAGTTTCAAATTTGACAATTTGCAAGTAACTATCCGTTCAGCGTCACATCATCAGGTCATGAGCCAATTCTGCATATGATGTTGCAACTCAAGAGGTCAAATAAGGACTTGAATCCAACTGAATTGTTCAAATCACTCTCTCAATCGTTAAAGTGTCATTATTACAAAAAAAAAAATACAAATATAAATAAAATACAGTTCTAAAATATTAATATTAAATATAAAAATGAAATATTTGTATTTTGTATTTTGTATTTGATTCAAATAAAAAATAAACTAAAATAAGTTTTTTACCTTTATTTCCAAATATTTTATTTATATTTTATAAAAAATGTGAAAGTTATGTGTACCAAACACACACACACACATATGTATCACCTTACTTTATACAATATAATGTACACATAATTACTACGTAGTATATTTAATATGTATAAAACTACTAATATATATATATATGTATATATATATATTAGAGATTAAATACAAACTTTTTTTAATTTACTAACCTACAAACTAATCCTAGCCATCTATTTTAATGAAAGAGATGTGAACTTCATCTAGATTAGATTAGACAATTAGGGGCTTATTAGTCTTCTTAGTTTATTTTATTTTTGGAAAAAAAATCTCATGTTACCTTTTCATACCCGATTGATAATCGATTCCTTCCCTCTCTCCTACCAAGTTCATAGTCCATCAATACGCAATTACTCTAGATATCAAAGCTTCTCTTCATCTTCATATCTCCAACTCCATCTCCATATCTATCTCCATCTCAAATTTAATAGAATTTGATTAGCGTTCTTCTATTCAAAATCCGTAGATTCTGGCACACACAAGGAGAACATTAGTTCTCGAACTCCGTGGATTCCGGCATCGCCATGGAATCTGGTGTGCACGGGCACGTCAGATTTTTTTTTGATATTTGTTTTCATATCAATTCATCAATTATGTGTTTATGCAAAGTTCTTGTGATTTTAGTATCCAAAAGTTTTTGTGGTTTTAGTATGCAAAGATGTTTCATATCAATTTACACAATTTCATGTTTATGCGAAGTTCTTATAACTTTAGTATGTAATATATAGTAGTATTTTTGTTATTTAGAACATTCTTCTCATATATGATGCATCATGTCATCTAAACCTCATGATTCTCGTATGCATGTTAATTGAGTTTAGAATGCAGATGTCATAACGATAAGATGCAAGTCATGCAACATATGTCTCCTAAGATGCACATGTCATCTCACTGAAATGCAATATATGTGAACTTCCTAAAATGTACATGTGATAATGATAAAATGCAACATATGAACTTCGGAAATGATTATAGAATGAATGCACATATCATAACGATAAGATGGAGCATATGGTCTCCTAACATGCACATGTCATGTTACTAAAATGCAATATACATGAATTCTTAAAATGCACATGTAATAACGATAAAATGCGACGTATGTACATCGAAAATGATTATAGAATGAATGCACTTTCATTGAAAATAACGTATGGAGTATGGACTTCCAAAGTGCAAGGCAATAAATTAATTAGCTCAATATGAAACATAGATAATGCTCATATCATGTGAATAAGAGTGCAACATATGCATAACTAATATTGAAACATTATAATTATGAAGTGGTTAATTTTGTAAATAAAAGGAATTTATTTCATAAATATTATCATATGTAGACATTATAATTATAAAATGCACATCTCGTAACCTTTATAAGCAGTTCACACGTATCTTGACCACTCATATGCATGTTAGTTGAGTATACGATGAAAATGTTGTAACGATAAGATGCATCATATGAACTTTTAAAGTGCACATGTCATTTTACTACAATGCAATATATGAACTTCTAAAACACAACATCGAGATATTTTATCAATATTTTTTGCAGACATTATGAATATATGATGCACATCCCGTAATCTTAATATGCAGTGCGATATAATGCATATTCTATAATCTTAATAAGCACCGCTCACATATAAACTTCTACTTATGTTGAAATATTAACTTTTTCATTCAAAAATAGAAGCTAGGTTTTGAAAATAAGAAATTCATTTTGTAAATTTTACCATTAAATATTAGTTACAAAAAGGTATGCTATTTTTCAATTTACGGCTAGCATTAATCCAAGGATTCTCTTTGTCTACAACTTATTTTGAATAAGTTGCACCTTTATTTGGATGATTATTTTAATTAGTGGGAAGTTAACGTAAGTCTAGGAGAAGGGGGTTTAAGATTACATTAATAGTCTTGTAACAAAATTTAATACGGTATTGAGCTTTAGGATTTTAATTGGCAGCTTCTCAACCCGTGAATTCTATCATGGATGCCGTACGGATAGTCATCCATCAAATGCAAATCGACAGTGCTGATCAGTTTGTATGTATATGTGTGTATATATATATATATATACACATGTATGTATATATATATGTATATATGTGTGTGTGTGTGTGTAAAAGATCAAATACAAATCATGGTTAAAATACTAACCTACAAACTCAATAATATGCAACACTTTAAACTTTAATGTGCAATACAAATAATATGCAATACTTTGAACTTCAATATGCAATACAAATAATATGCAACACTTTGAACTTCAATATGCAATACAAATAATGTAAAGATGCACAGTTTGTGATAGTTTGTAGGTTAGCATGAGAGGACTAGTTTGTATGTGAACAAACAACTCTATCTGCGTGAGAGACGGATGTATAAAAAGTGTACACAAAAATGTGTACACCTAGCACGCTCATACTCTAATAGAATCACCTGCAACTTTGGCAATTTCAACCCGGTCCATTCTCACGGGAGGGGCCATGATATCGGTTTTTGAACGTACTCCATCCTCCATGTATTGTGGTATATATGTAAATTTTGTGAGAGGAATAATCCTGTCAGACCGGTCTAACAGGATCCGCCGTTCGGTCAAGACAATTTGGGATTGTTCCCGTTGAATTTCTTTTAACATGTTCTTCATCAAGTCAAAATTATATCCACAAAATTTCATCTTACAATTTATTGTATTGACTTCCCGATTAAATTCTAAGCTAAAATTTTGTGGGGAGAATATACATTTGATAAATGACATACTAAAAAAAATTCAGCAAAAATTTGACTCAAAAGCCATTCAAACGGGTTTCACTTGACGACAGGCGAATGATGGGCAAATTCTGTCAGACCAACCTGATAGCATGGTTACTTCTCGAATATGTTGAAGTAAATGATAAAAATTGATCTACAATATATTCTTCCCGTTCTTTTTTAGTTGCAACGGTCAACATTTCACATTTGTCAACGCACGTCTTTGACCGTAATTATATCTTAATTCTATTAGTAAAAAAATATTAAAAATCAGATTTTGAAAATTTGTAATGAATTGAATTGAACAATATTATAAAAAAAATTCATAAAATAATAGCGTAAAATGTAGTCAAAGTAGAATATACGATTAAAACGGAAGGGAGGAATGGAGGATAGTATATCGGTGGAATTTAGCCAAATAATTTGAAACACTATTACTCCATTGACCTTAATTTAAGATTCTTTTAAAGAATCACATAAAAAGACATTTGAATTCGTGCCTGACTTATTTTTGAACATCAATAATTGTGAATAGAGTCGTGCGTGGATGGGAAAGGATCCCTCTCCATTTATGAGTGTGAGATGGACTTTTCAATTAAGGGGGCAACTCTTTATTTAGTTCCTTACCTAATTTGCATTTATGATGGACCACCCTGCCATCAGATATATCTCTATATTTCTTCTTTCATCCATTTCTTCAATTTCTACGTTTATTGGAGACTCTATGAAATGGTTGTGATTTTTTAGATTTATTTCATCCATTTCTATCTCATTTCTTCAAAACAAAAACTTATACTACTTCGTACCAATCTTAAATCGAGTCAAAAGGTTGTGCAATCATATAATATTCCATTAAAAAGTGGATATGATCATTTGACATAATGATAATTCACTTTACCCCACTCTAAAGTGAAAATTGAGCAATTCTATGTAGTACTCCCTCCGTCCCCTTTTAAATGTCCCATTTTACCATATTGGAATGTCCCTATTTAATTGTCTCATACCTTATTTGGTAAAGTTTATGTGGCTCAAAATCATTCTTATTCTATTCTTACTTTATTCTTACTTTATCTATTAATATCAACCACAGAAACCTAGTTTTCTTAAAACTCGTGTCATCCTCTTCCGGGACATTTAAAAGGGGACGGAGGGAGTATATACATACGTCAATTTCCCCCTTATAATTTGTGTCGTAAACTCGTAGCTTACTTTACTCTAATCATGCGATAACCACCCAGATTGAAGTACCATTACGTAACCATAGATATGTTAGGATCAATAACATTATCAATCTTCGAGTAAAGTGATCAATAACTGTTATCTACATGTTTGGGCTCTTCATATAGTAGTTGAATAATTGAAGGGTTTTTAACATCCTCCCAAAAGTTTGGTTGGATCAAGACGTGGGAGGCCTTGAGGTTGAAGATTTAACTTTTTTGGAAGAATGAACAATTGAACCGTTTGTAGTATACATATGTCAACGCATGGTTCCATCCTCGGTCGTAAATTCCACTTCACGCAAAATAGTTTGTCATTTTTTAATTCTCACAGTTTGGTACTTTGGTGTGAATCAAAATTTAGCAGTCAACTTCGAAAATGACATTTTAGTACTCAATTTTGAATTGTTGGAGTAATAACTTTGATTGCTCGAACTATATGATTATAAGGTGTTTTTTTTTGAAGAATTTGGCTTAAATTGAAATCTCAACATTTAGATGATGGGCAATCCGACAAATATAATCCTGACAACCGTTGTCCCGCGAACTAGATTCAGAGATAATCACCTCATCAGAAGCAATACAACTCGCTGATCCATTAATGGGCACAAATGAGCCAAAAACGGTTACCCCAATTTCTATGTCACCCACATCCAAATCCAATGTCTTACAACCAGGAAAAATAACAGCTAAACCAAATAAAAAACATACTGAAAAGTAATAAAAGCTAAAATAAAAATAAAAGTCTGCCTCCCGATCTGCTTGCTCTGCATCTGATGGAGTATATGGTCCAGGGATCCCCGACCCACATAGTTCCACTATTACAATCAGGCCCAACAGGCCCAAGCGGGCCAAGCCCAACAAGATGGAACTCTAAGCAGCCCATGATACATGAAGGGGTGACATAATCACGGGAGAAGCCTTTGGCCCCATTGACGAAGATTACCAGTGACAGAATCGGGCTCAGATAAATCACGGGAGAACAAGTCTCAAAAACCAAGCCTTCGGCATAGGAGCCCTCGGTACTAGGAGGCCCCCGACACGAAGAGCCTTCGGCCTGTCACCTACAGCCGAAGGCATCTTCCTCAACAGAATCTCCTCTCCACATGCGCTGGATCACCGTACCAAGTACAAACGTCGCGTCCAACCGCCGCATTTAATGCGGCCACATGCGAGTGCTAGCGCCACCCCGATTGAGGTGACCCCTCGACCACCAGAATGCTGACACGTGTCCCCATCTAGCATTTATTACTACTATAAATAGCAGCCCCTTTTTCCTTTGTAACACACAACGAGTTCGTTCAATACGTTTGACTCTCTCTCTCTCTTACTTATTCGCTCTGACTTCTCTCTAAGTTACTCCCCGCGGTAACCCCTCGGATAAGCTACCCCCGGGTACACTATCCATCAACATCCTCATCAAGATTCCTTGTTTCTAACTCTGAATTCTCTTAGGCGGGCCTACTGCTCGAAGCCCGCCTCTTCCCCGTTTTTTGTCCCATCCAGTGCCATACTTCCCTTCCCTTGTAGTTTCTCTCCCTGAGTCTCCCATATCCTTCTGCGCTTCTGTTCTCCTGTTGCTTCTTCCTTATTCTTTGTTCTGACTCTGTCCCCAATTCTTTCCTCCCATCTCTCATCCTATCCTCTGATTTAGCCCCCTCCCCACACCTATGGTCCCTACCAGAGCTCGATGAACCCTCCAGTAATCATTGGTTTCCTCCTATAGGACTCGTCTTCCCCCCACTACCTGCTCTAAGATGAACTCCAAACTTTTTCTCGAACACTAGATCTTCTTCGTAGTTCAAGTGACCGAATTTGTCCAATTAATCCACAAATAAAACAGATGTTTGGCAACTTCTCATATTTAAAATCTACCTAGTAACTCTTGCCATCCTTCCTCAGATTAGTAGCTCTTTTCAGTACTTTTTCCACATTCATACACACCCGTATTCTCATATAGGCCTCCCACTTGTCACTATTTTGATTATCATCGTATTTTATAAACTTTCCTATCAAATTACCAACTCTCTGGGCCGTACCTAAAGACTATAAGGCACATTATGAACCTAAACCCAGAAGTCTGCCTCATTCAGAACAATTTTGTGAGGGATATCATCAGGTTTAACCTCTTTTAATAACAATAATTTTTTCTCAAATTGCCATGGTCCTCCATCTAAAACACGATTCATATCTAAACAGTGATAAAAAGTAAAGAGATATCTTTTCTCCCCGACTTCTTTAACTGATAGGCTTTTTCTCGGTCTCCATAGCGACACTAACATCTCCTTGATCGCCGGGAATCGGACCGTTCGGTCCGTCAGCAGAACCCCCGACCACTGGGAAACACGACCTGCTCTCCTCCTTCGGCTCCTCGCCCGCCTCCGTATCGTCGAGGTCCAGGTCTTCCTCCTCCACTACCAAAGCCATCCGTCTATACTTGTCCACCACGCTTTCCATGCAGGCGACCCTTCTCCCTCTTTCTCTGGGTAAAATCATTGGCCGATTTTTTACTCCCAAGTCCCAAAGCGATGCAGTCCGACGAACCTTCCTTCCCTGACTAACCGACTTCCAAAGCTTAGCCCTCAACAACCATCCAAACCGACTCAAATAATAAATCAAAAATAAATCAAAAATCCCAAAAAATTAGTGCAACGACCCTTCGAGAACGAAGCTCGGAAGAAGGAATCTCGCTTCGCACAGCTCCCGGCGCAAACATGGTGAGAAACCGGCGGGGGCATTGATTATAAAGTGTTTTAGATAAGTGTTTTGGTGCTACTTTTTCGTGTTCAATTTAATCACTACTCACACAATTAAGAATGTGTGAATGTTTTAGTCACATATAAGTAGTTCTCCCTTAAATATATCTTGCATAATCAAACAATTATGTTTCGAATTGGATTGGTTCGGTGACTTCTATCTCGATTATACCAAAATAGACTTAGATAATAATAAAATACAAATAACACAAACATTATCATATTAGACTAGTTTAGACCAGATTTATATAAAATAAACCTTGCCAGACCGGGTAAGGCCAAATTTATATAGCCATGATTAGAGACATCTTTTTTTTTTTGGTAGAAGATTAGAAACATCCTTTGGTGAGAAGAAAAGTGTGAAGATTCAAAGAAATATAAAAAATTCACGAACACTCATTAAATTGGCAAAGAATCTAATTCAACACAATTATAGAAAATTGATCACCATTCACCAGTTGACCACCCTTCTAAAAAGAATATCATCCAAGAATACTGGGAGCCTTCTTCAACTTCTTTTGTAAATAGTCATGAGTTAAATCGTGTAACAATAATTACAAGTCACTAATATTGTTTCTTCATATACTTCTATGTTTTAACCGGATCACAACAATGTCACAATATAAACTTGGATATCTTGGGAAGATGAAGAAAAGGAGGGAAAAATCATGCCGCCAAACCATATATTGCACCACCCATTTCAAAATTGCAGAGTCAAATATAAGTACTCGTACTCAAGAGTAAAGAATGATACTATGACCCAATTTACCGATTCAGAAGTATAGTGAAAATGATAGTAACACCATGTTTTTTTAAGAAGAGAATACTGAAACCTGTGGATATAGAATGATAGTGTGTGGAGAGTTGACTAGAAAATGTCAAGAACTTCTGATATGGAATTGTTGCAGAGAGGGCAACTTCCCCTTTGAACCCAGAGCTCCCTCGAGCACCGCCGGCAAAATGTGTGTCCACAGGGTATAAACGCCGCACCCTTGTGCCTAACCATGCACACACAACAACGGTCTACAATTAACTTGCCACCGCCGGCAATCTCCTCTCCGGTTTCTCCCTCTTCTTCTTCTGGTATTCCAGCTGCACTGTCCAGGCTCATTTCCCTGTCAGTCTCCGCAAGCAACGCCATCAGTGAGAGTCTTGCCGGTTGGTCCTCTGTGGTGCCTTCGCCTGGTAAATCGCCGTCGGAAGCTTCTGCCACCTCGAATCTCGAGGCCCTGTCATCCACAGCCCGACTAGAGCTCCTCTGCAGCATCACAATCAGAGTGGTTGACCCCGGCGATGTCGTCACTTCCGGCTGAATCAATCCGTGCCTCGGGGTCTCCCCCTCGGGGGAATTATTCGCAGGAGAAACCCGCGAGGGATGGGACGTCTGCCGTCGAGGTGTATCGGCGGAAAGTGCGGCGGGGAACGAATCGTCGTCGGCAGAGGTCCAGGCGGAGCCATGGATCCTTAAACAGAGCCTATCTGTGATGTGTTTCCATGTCTTCCGGCCCCCCTTGCTCGCGAACGGCTCAGCCCGTATGATATCGAGGAGAGTCCGATGCGGTAGCGCGGCCGTAGTCGATCTAGGCTCTCTATCCAAAACAGCCCCTAGGGTTAAACCGGTCAAATTGCTACTTCCGTCATTACGGCTGCTCGCCTGTTTCACTCTGAGAAAGTCTCCCAGGTTTGGAGAATCTGGCTTGTATTCCGCCGTATGCATCCTTCCCCGGCTAAATCCACCCCCACTGGTCTCCATTAGCGACTACAATATTCGATACTAATCCAGAAAACAATCACCGGAACTCCGGAAGAGCGAACACCAAAATCTTCCTAAAATGAAAAAGAGGAAAAGGACTGTTACATCACTAGATTCAACTGAGATTCGAAAATAACAAAATACGGACTACAAAATAGAACGATTCGTGAAATGTTCACCAGAAATTGAACTTTCTACACGGTACTACAGGATCGGATGCAATGTTTGAGCAATCCAAAAAATTATACAACAAATTTAAACAGCTCGAGAGATATTACAATGAAATTGAACAATCCATCAAGTCTAAACAAAAACAAAATGTAAAAGAGCGACGGAGAGAGATCTACGATGCAAATATTGAATTCCGAAATTGAAACATTCAACGCAAATGCAAGTTTTTGATCTTAATCCGAAATAACATAAACAGTAGAGAGGCAGAGTATAAGGTAGAGGATGAGTACAGTTGAAGGCGGAGGATTCGGTTTGCGGCAAAGCCATCAAATCTGAGATCAGAAGATATTGAACGGAACCACTTGGGGAAACTTTTTCTTGTTATAGAGCAAAAAATGAATACTCCATATTCAAAAAATAAACATAGTACTAATAATATCTTTTCAGGAATTAAATAAAAAAATAAAAACAGACGAATACGGACGAAGGAGACCGGCGATTGAGAGGAAAAGTATACCTTTTTGTCTCTCTCTAACTCTCGTCTCCCCCCGAGTCCTCCAGTCATCCACAGTGCTCCATTTTCCTAATCGTTTTCGGTGCTTATTCCTTTTTTTTCTATTTTCAAATAATGACAAAATATATATACTCAACAAATTCTGTTTTTTAGTGATTATGATTTTATGTAATTTTACAACAACCATTCTTGACATACACACCTTATATACACCATGTTTGTGAAGTTTTTTTTGTCTGTGAATCCAGTTCACAGATAATATTTTGTTTGTGCAAAACATTGTCTGTGAATCGATGTTCACAGACAAAAAAAAGCTTTCACAGACATAGGTGTGTACAAAAGTGTGTATAAGAGTGTGTACAAACATCATTTTTGATTTTACAATTGGTGATTATAAATGCTACTACCTCCGTCCACGGTGGAATGTTTCCGCTTTGACCTCACACATATTAAAGAAATAAACTTACCAAAGGGTAAATTTTACTGTTTTTACACTGTTTCAACACTGTTTGGCACTGTTTCGACACTGTTTGACACTGTTTTGCACTGTTTGACCCTGCTTTGATGTAGGATAATTTTCCATTTAGGGAAATGAGAACTTTCCAACGGGACATCCAAAAAAGGAAAGCGAGACATTCCAACGGGACGGAGGGAGTAAAATATTACTGGAAATACTTGGAATCACACTAGATATAAAAAATCATAGAATGTTGTACTAGGTATTTATTTATCTTTCGTACGAACACATTTGATAATTTTATTTGTCTAATAGCTTTTAAAAATGAGATGAAAGCCATTATTATAGTGTGAAGGTAAAGTTTTTTTGTTTATTCCATGTGTTTTTCTTCGGTGGCTAGATCTCTTGAACAAAGTTATAAAGGAGGTTTTGCATATTTTTTGGAGGATTCTGGGACTATTTGTTTATTCTCCGATCATAGATATCTTATTCTCAAAGCTTTGCATCTATTTACTCAATGCTTTTATAAGAAGATTTAGGGATGTTTGGAAGAGCAAAAATAGGCTAATCAGACTGTAAATGTGTAAAAATAGCCAATCACCTCTTCAATGGGCTGCTTTGACTGATTCTTATTATCAATTGCAAAAGTAACTTTATAGTTACTTTTTAGCTGGTTTTTATTTTTGTGAGGATCATCATTTTACTCGTGGGCCGACTAGTCCATGGGGGCAACCCATCCCAGCCCATAAGGGCCACGGGCCAGGCCTAGTCAGCCCACTATTTGAAGGGGTGGGCTTGGGGCAGAGCAAGAAACCCGGCCCAACCCATTGACCCGGCACGTCTAGACCTATCTCGACCCAGTCTATTAAGCCCACCCGAGCCTAGCCCAGAAGCCCATTATGTACTACTTATGAATTTTAACATATATAAAAGCTATGAGTCATAAAAATTGAAGCATTAATTTACGTAAAATATTGGACAATGTCAAAAGCTAGGATGCAAGAAAAGCCAATATTGAATCAAGAAAGGAAATATGATACAGACATTTGCATCAAGACCAAACTGGATGACTTGGGGTGATATGAAAGAGAATGAAGTTTTGGATGAAAAGTTTGTGATAGAGTTTGAGAAGTTTGAACATCTTTATTTCATGAGTGTACTACCAAAATTTTAAATGTAGATACTTTTGAAACGTCTCTATTAGCTAAATATATCCTCAATTATCATCAAATTCACAAAATTATCTCATACTTTTACTTTTATTTAAAAAAACTCAAACTTCAATTTTTCTCACTATCACACTTTCAACAGATGAATTAGTAAAACTTAAGAACAAAATCATATTTATATTTTATATTACAAACTTGTATTACTTATATCTTATTGGCATTGATAAAATTTGTAATTTTGAAAAAAACAAAGAAGAAAACCATAATTGTTGAAAATGATGAAGTTTGAGTATTTTTTGATAAAAGTGAAAGAATATGATAGATTTGTGAATTTGATGATAGTTTGAGATAAAATAAGCTAATAATCCTCGAAATTAATTTTACTTTTATTACATTATTTGGAACAAAAAATTCTTTATTATTCTGCAAAGTTGCAGCAATATATTCGGGCTCATTTAAAATTTCCACTCAATGGACTATAAATCTATAATACAAATTTATACTTCGTATTTCATACTGTACAAGTTCATTTATAACATCGCTCACAAATAAAAAAAAAATCTAGGTTTGTAATGGAGATGGCTGGTTCCGTAGACAATCGAGCTTTTCACTGTTGAAGCGGCAGAGTCATGGCGTCCTTTTCAGGACCCTCTAACCCATTTCCGTTAGTGTTCAATTGTCAACCTGGAAATCACCCGGTAACCCACTTGGCTGCACCTATTCCCGCATTGATACACAATAGAAACCCATTAGTAACCCATCAACGAGATGCAGGGGACGGGGTTGCCCCCCAAAGAAGAACCAGCATCACCAGAACATTGGAGGAAGATGCCAGAGGGAAAGATGAAATCAACAGGAAGGTAGCTTCACAGAGAGCAATTTCAATAATTATGAGGAGAGAGGCGATGAAAGCAGTATTCGAGAAGAAAAAGGGCAGCTCCAAGAAGCTACTTCCCAATGATATTCTCGAAGCTCTTCACGAACGCATCACTGCTTTGCGCTGGGAATCCGCTCTTAAGGTCTCTCCTTCTCTCCTTCTGCCCCCATCCCCAACTATGATTCGAAAGTTCTATATGAACATTTGAATTACCAACTTTATTCACCATTACTTTCAATTTTATTAGCAATATAAATAAATGTTAATGAACTACGAAATAGAATTCATTCAGCTCACCAGTCTGACCCCAAGTTCTTTAGGCTTTAGCTTACTTCAGTTTAAAATTAATTCAGTCTTTATGAACTCTAAGGCTCTATTTGGAAATTGGGAAACCTGGAAAAGAATGTAGGGTGGGAAGTGTATGAGAAATTCAAAGGAAAGAATATGTTGGGGAATGATAAAAACATAGGTCCTAACTCAATAAATATATTTTTCACATTTGCTCCAATTCATTTTTTATTTACTTGTATAAGCAGTCGCCAAGAAATCTGAACACATGTAAAAACCATATTTCGTTTTCCTTTCCATTTTCTGAGGTAAAACCAAACATAACCAAATAACTTTCTTTAGCATTTCCTTTCCTTTCCTAGGATTTTCTAGGGTCCACATAACCTAAGGGAAATGAAATTATAGAATATGTCATACAATTTCTAGAGATTACTCACATATGCCATGTTTGATTAAAAGGGTAGTAAGAAACCAAAAATTCCTATGTTTAGCTACTGAAAACACCATGTAATGGATTTTTTTATAATTGTTGTCTCTACTTACAGATCTTTGAACTCCTTCGTGAGCAGCTATGGTACAAGCCGAATGCTGGTGTGTATATCAAACTAATTGTAATGCTTGGAAAATGTAAGCAACCTGAGAAAGCTCAATCCTTATTTCAGATGATGATTGATGAAGGCTGTGCTGTGAATCAAGAAGCTTATACTGCTCTATTGTCTGCATATAGCCGTACTGCCCTTTTCAATGATGCTTTTTCACTCCTTGAAGAGATGAAGAACACTCCTAATTGTCAACCTGATGTCTTCACATATACCGTTCTCATAAAATCGTACCTTCAAGTTTATGACTTTGGTAAAGTTAGAGTTCTCCTTTCTGAAATGGAGATCGAGGGGATCAAGCCCAATACAGTTACATATAATATCCTCATTGACGCTTACGGCAAAGCAAAGAGGTATGTGTCATTTTATAAAATCATGAGAACATTTGATGCCGATTCCCATTATGCCCTTCTTTTCTAGCCTCATTCTCAACTAAAGTAATTTCTAATTGCTCCAACAAGATGTTCTTCATCTGTTTCTAAAATAACTGTCCATTAAAGAATAATTACAATATGTAATGTAAAAGTTAATTCAGTCATGGGTTAGTGAAGACGCTCCTACATTCCTACTGGTATCTAATTTGTGTTTCAAATTGATGCATCCCGCCAAAATCGTCTGATTTCTACAGTAGTTATTTTCTAATTTCCCTTTCCCAAGTCTATCCTATTTGAATATTCGTTTTCAGAGTCCCAACTCCCACGAGAGGAGTAATTTATTGATTGCATATGATAATAATGGCTGTGACACACTTAACAGCCATTTAATCACGACTTTGCTAGAACTGAAACACAGATGGTTTGCTCGGCACGCAACTAGCCAGGCATTTAGTCATCCAAAAATGCTCATCTTATCCAATTTAGATTCTTTGGTCAATGCACAAAGTAAACAACCCCTCACACAAAGACCACTTAGTTCAGACTCCAGACAACTATCTCAACACAGACAGACATCTTAGTACTCAGTTTACTTTTTATTGGGTTGCCAAAGGATACTTATTTTAAAGCAAAATCTATTAGTCAATCTACTTTTTTGTGGACGAAGGATTATTAATTAAGGGTAGTTTAGCCACTTTGGTGGAGCACTACTGTGAAAAGGAGGAAGTTCTTATTCCCATGGTCATGCCCTGTAAGTTGTGAGAATAGATTGTTCCAATGAAATGGAAAAACGGCGATTATATTTTGTAAGTAGCATTTTAGGTTTAGGTATTGACACAAATTTTATTTACTAAAGGTTCACTGAGATGGAATCTGTACTTGTGGAAATGCTTCAGAGGAGAGACTGTTCTCCAGATGAGTGGACCATGAACTCTTCATTGAGAGCATATGGTGGTAGCGGGCAGATAGAAATGATGGAGAGCTGCTATGAAAAGTTCCAATGTGCTGGGATTGAACCCACTATTAAGACTTTCAACATCCTTTTAGATTCATATGGAAAAACCGGAAATTATGATAAAATGAGTGCTGTTATGGAATACATGCAGAAGTACCATTTCTCATGGACTAGAGTTACCTATAATATCATAATAGATGCATTTGGGAAGGCTGGAGATTTGAAACAGATGGAATATGTTTTCCGGCTTATGCAGTCCGAGAGGATAAAACCAGACAGGGTCACACTTTGTTCGCTGGTTCGAGCGTATGGGCAAGCTGGGAATGCTGAAAAAATTGGAGGTGTTCTGAAATTTGCTGATAATGCAGAAGTTACACTGGACACTGTTTTTTTTAACTGCCTAGTGGATGCATATGGGATGATGGAATGCTTCCCGGAGATGAAAGAAGTGCTTGAACTAATGCAGAGCAAAGGATGTAAGCCTGATAGAGTAACATATAGAACCATGATTAAAGCATACTCAATTGGTGGGATGACTAGTAAAGCAAAGGAGTTCAAGAACCAACTTGCGTCGTTGGAGGAGAATCAACCCGGCCGGAAAATGTTCAAAGTAAAGTGAGGCTTTTCACATTATTGTCGCGGTCTTTTGCTTGTACAGTCTTTACACTTCATTTTTTGTCATCAAATCTGCATCATTTTCTCAAGTGTAAATAAGCTCTTCTAGGAACTCGAGTTTATTAGTTAATCAACAAATTTATCGGCCACTGAATTGATTTTTAAGCCTCTAAGAAACTATATCAAGCCGATCTACAACCTCTATTACTAAGAAACAATATAAAGCCGATCTACTACCTCTATTTCCCTAAATTGGGGTAAAATAGGAGGTGTCGTGGTTTCCAAGAAAAGTGAATTTATATTGGTAGGGTATTGAATTGATGAAGTAAAATAAAGTAAGAGTTATTTAGAACTACACAAATATTACCAAATTTGGTTTGAGGCAATTTTTGAATTCAATTTTATTTTTCCCAACTTTGAGCTTTTGGTCTCATTTTTTGTCCCCCCATTTTTTCCCCTTTTGGGCAGTTGGGTGCTTCTGTGGGAAGTGGGAACTACTACTCGACTTTCTAATGAAACTTGAAATAACTATCCAGTGAACCAAGACCCCACCCCTTATCCATAATCCATGGAATTAAATTCCCAATTTTTTTAAATAAAAATAATGTTGTAATTTGTACTCCCTCCGTCCCATAATTTACTTCCAACTTTCCTTTTTCGTCTGTCCTAAAAAGAACTTCTTTTTCCCCTTTTGTCAAACAATTTGTGGTTCACACCAATTCTTACACATTCTTACACATTTCTCTCTTCTCTGCACAACTCTGTAAATTTTGGGACGGAGGGAGTAAATAACTGTGACATCGAGAGGCAAATCCTCCTATATATTTTGGAACAAGACTTAGACATGAACCAAGTGTAGATGCAGCTGCTGATGCATTATAGACTTGCAGTGGGGACTTTTCCACTAACTACGGTGTAATGTTTGACACACCTACCGGGGAGCTTAATGGTGGTTGAGTGAGCCGGTTGAGTTGAGGACTCAAGTTCAATTTGTTATATCGGTGGTGTAAAAGTTTCATCGACACATTGATGGAGATAGAAGTCCGGATCTAAGCTTAGTTTTATACAATTATACTACATGTTTTATGTTGAAGACTAGAAAATTGAAATCTTATCATCATCCATTACACATGTTATTACACGTGGGATTTTAACATTAAAATTAGGAAAATTTCCCGAGATATGTCCAGTCACTGACTCGCACTAGTGACTTGCCCGCACGCCACAGACCCCAGGGGCGGAGCCAGGACAACAAAGAAGGCTGGGCCGGATTCAAACTAAATTTCAAGACAAAATTTTTAAGTAAAAAAGGTCATACTGTGTGTGTTAACTTTTGTAAAGGTATTATGTTTTTCACTAACAGATAGAATTAAACTATGGTGAGGAGCAATCCATTTCACCAAGGTCACCACCACACGCAAACCCACAATCACAGCCAAACTTGTGTTTCCTGCATCTTCAGGTTCAACTTTAAATTTTTTAAGCTCTAAAGCAATTAATCAATTAAAATTTAAAGCAATGAAAGAAATTAATCAATTAAACTTATTCAAGCAATTAATCAATTAAACTTTACAGCAATTGAAGTAATTAATCAATAAACTTGCAAGAGAATTTAAACTTTCAAGCAATTAATCAATTCAATCTTAATGTAAAACTATCAATTTAAGACCTGAATGATTGAAAACTATTAATCTAGGAGACTAGGACCTAAGTTGTCATAATTTTTTTTATTAAAAATTTTTAAATATTATTTCGTTTTATTAAACTAATAAACTTTTGTGAAGAAAAGTTTATAAAAAATTAGTAATGGAATTAATAAAAAATTAAATAAATCAAAACTTATGAAACGTTAGGTTCTAAATTGATAGTTTTCCATCATTCAGGTCCTATACTGATACGTTTCATATTTCGGATCCTGAATTGATAATTAATCTATCTTTCGGATCCTGAATTGATAAAATTCCTATTTCAATATTGTCAAAAAAGAGTGCTCAAATACATCTCATTACAATTTCATTAAAAGATGTAAATTAAAGGACGGAGTAGAAAATACATCATCAAAGTCAGCTAGTAAAGCAAGCATGGTACAAGTACGATATGTACAGAAAAATCAACAACCGTTACATTCACATATATTGCTGAGACCAGGAGCCCAAAACTGCCCAAAATTACATGTTCTTGTCATGCATGAGGACGCTTAAAGCGATGGGACAATACCAAACGATGAAGTGTCAGCAGCAATAAGGGAGTCGACTTTGGCCTCGGAGCGCTTGGCGAACCTTCCTTTGATCCTTGGTCGCGTCTCGGCGTATGCCTTTCTAGAAGCGTATCTTATAGTCTTCTCAAACTTGCGGTTCTTTCTCTTCTCTCTATACCTCAACACCTTCGCCTCCCGATCCACTCCCAACAAGGGGTTTGGGACAACAATGTCCATGGTGCCAGGGCTCTGGTCAAGTGGAGCATTGGACACGTCTCCCATGACGCTATTGTCGGGCACAAGTCCGACCTCCAATGATGATGATGACACCTACACAAAAGGCAAAATGTTTTACACACTATTTAGGGGTTGTTTACTTTTGACTTAATGGTCTTAATGGAATGATGAATTTAATGACTCAGCTATACAAGACTGTTTATTTGGGAGTTATTTTTCAGCAGGACTTATTCGCTCAGACAAATAACGACTGAATCGCTCAGCTCCTTCACAACACTCCTTCACATTCAGACGCAAGCGTTCCTCTTTTAACCTTTCTGATCCTTCCGCCAGACTTACATTTGAACATCGACCATCATTTAGAATCACGTCCCACAAATTGCCGATCGCGAGCTTCTCCATTAACCAACAGCAACCCTTTGCACGCAACCTTCCCACATAAAACCCCCTGCCCTCACTCCTAGAGACAATAAATTTTCCACCAACTACACATAAATGTTCCAAGCTTTTTTTGTATAAATTGAATCTTCTAGCACTTTTCGAAATGTTGTGCTTTGCTCTGAATTTCCAGAAATTCCAATATTTTTTTAACTGCTGCAGTGTTGAAATTAATTTTGAGGAAAGAAAATTAAAAGTTCCTAATTTTAAATAAAGGTCCATAATATAATTATTTTATGGGATTCAACACTTCTTCCATACAGAAGGGTAAAATGGTCAATTAACAGAATTCATTCCGCTCATTCAGCATATAAAGTAAACATCTTGTTATCTCAGTATCACTTAATCCAGACAGACGTCTTAACAAAGACGGACAACTTAGGACTTGACGAAAAAAAAGTAAACAGTCTAATATAGTGAAATGAAATACAATTGGCCGCTATAATATTACTCAAATATTAGTGATATTTGGCCGTAGACCCGCATACAATTGCTCTAATATTGTAGAATGTGGTTTTGACCCTACCACTATCAATAAATCAGTGACCATATAAATGTAACATTTACCAGAGGGTCCACACGCGCGACAAAATTTCAGCAAAGTCATGGACGTATTTCCCTTGCAAATTATAAGGCAAATTTTTATCAGCCACAAATTCACCAGTTAGATGAAGTGGGCCCAATTAAAATTTTCATACTACCTCCGTCCCAAAAAAGTTTGTCATTTTAAAAAAATTGAATATTGATTTTAATTAGTATAATATTATGGAAATTATAAATTTTATACTTTTATGAAACTACTTTTAACAAAGAGCATTTTCATATAATTTTTATATTATAAATATTTTTCAATAAAAAGATATAGTCAGTAAAAGTTTTGAAAATGACAAAATTTTCTGGAACGGAGGTAGTATATTTTATTCTTTAAGTTACTCCGTACTATTCAACATAAAATAAATGAAGATATTTTATAATTCAATCACTTCAAAAATTTCAACCCATTTAGCTGCTTCAATCATTTGAGATCTCACCAAATTGGTTAGCATATGTTTGGACGGAAAAATATGTTTCATTTGTATGATAAAGATACAAGTCGTATACAAATGATGCCATTATTATTAATGTAATTAATTAATAAAGTACTTTTAGTAGATGAAAGATTGGCGGGAGTATTATTTGAGAAAAAAGTTGACTAAATTATCTCAGATTTGAGAGAAAAACTTTCACAATTCTATGGGAGTGGAATTTGAGAAAAAAGTTGACTAAATTATCTCAAATTTGAGAGAAAAACTGACAATTCTACTGGTACTATATTATCTAGTACTCACAAATAGGTTTGACACACAATTTAAGATAGTGAGTACTGTGTGGTGGAGAGTTGTGCAGAGGAGAGAGAAATGTGTAAGAAATGTTGTGAACCACAAATTCTTTACTAAAAAGGGAAAGTGAAAGTTTTAATTGGAACAGACGAAAAAGAAAAGTTTCAATCGCTTTAACCCTATCACTTCCCCTCCCCTCCAAAAGCTTGAATTCCCAATTCCAAGGACTCCACTACCGGACAAGACGTATAGAAGATGGCATAACCGAATGTTTGCGGTTTCGATTCTTGGTCACTACTCTAACTTTCTCGCCATTCAACCAATTAATTGAGTGACATGAGGGTTGCTTTTATCCTATCACTGTCCTACTAAGCGGGTATTAAAATACTTCATCTAGCTAACAGGTTTCCATCTTATTGTCCAATCTTGTGTCAACATACGAAATCAGTTTTTAAATTTGTTTATGGGATTGAATACAACTTTTAGTTTTGTTTCAAATAATCAATTCTATTTCTCAACACAGATTCCGGAAAACTTAATTTTGTTTGTTTAATTTTTTGTGTGCAATTACACATGTCTAATCCGCGTTATAATTGGAATAGTGGTAGGGGCCGGAAAATGGCTCAGAGATGTCGTCCAGAGAATAAAGACATTATTATCCGTGTCATATTCATGTAATGGTGGCTTTCCACAATAATAATTGATTGATTGAGAATATGAATCTAATAACATAACACAATTATTTCAAGTAATTTCTTTAGATTAAAATCAATTATATGCGGAGTAATTAATTACTCAGTACGAAGTACTGGTATAATTTAGGTATAGTTGATTCAGTTTGAGTTACATATAATATAAACCTAAGGACGACGAAGGAAAGGGGACATACGCTTTGGCTGATGGATTGAGAACCGAAGTTGTACAGGAGGGACGGCTTGGACGCGCCGCCGGCGAAATCGATTTCGTAACCGGGAAATCCATCAACTACTGGGCCGGATGCGTGTGTATTGCCGCTTTTCTTCTGCACCGGCACCACACCGTCGGTATTGTAGTGTTTCTCGGTGTGGAAGTGGGGCTTCTGATCTCCGCCAGACATCATTTCCATTTCCAAATAAGGATTTAAATCGCTGAACAAGTAGTCCGCAGTTTTGTATCCCGGTCCTTCTAAATCAATTCCTTTCGCGTTATTCGGTGTCGGAAGGAGCCACGACGCCGCCTCCACCTCTTCCTCCGTGTCGGCGTTCTGGTTGTCCGACTCGCTGCGCAGGTGCTTGTCATCAGAGGAGTCGGAGCCTCCGCCGCCTTCGCCATCGTGTGGTTTGACGGCGCGGGAGGAGTCGTAGAAGGGGACCACCGGGAGCCGCTCGTGGCGGCGGGCCAAGGGGTTCGCGGAGTGGATGTCGCGGTCGCACGTGACGCAGAGAGCTGCGGCGTCAGCCTTACAAGTGAAGCTCGCCGGCGCTTGCTCGCACACTTCGCAGACCCAGACGCGCGCGTGGCGTGACGTGAGCTTGTTTGCCGCGTGGATCCTGGAGTCGCAGTACAGGCAGAGGAACGCCGCGTCGGCACTGCAGAACATAGTGGCCGGTTCCGTCTTGCAGGAGTCGCACAGCTTCGCCGTCAGGCTCCAGTTTTCTGCTCCCATCTCCTCTACACTCTGCGTCTCTCTTTTCTGTCAATAAAGCGTGTACTGATGTTTGTGAAGTGTGAATTAAAGTGATATTCATTTTCCATTTAAATATTTTCATCAATCAGCTTTCTATGGTTGGTATAATAACAATTATGCTACCTGGGTCATAGCTCAACTAGTAGCGAGGGAATGACACATGTGTTCGAATCTCGTCAACTGCGATAAGGTGTTACTATGCTAAAATATGCATAGGGCTTCTGCAAGTACTAGGGACAGAGCCTCACTCTCTATCTGTTAGGTTGAGATTATAGTCCAATTTACATCCTCCCAACGTATCGTCTGGTCAGGATTCGGGGCACTCAGGGAAGGGGTGTCATCCTTTTTTTAATAACAATTATTAGGGGTGGGCATAAAACCCAAACCGAACCGGTACCGAACCGTCCCGTAATGGTACCGAACCGAATATCGAGTATTTAAACGGTTCTATATATTTTTATCCCGTACCGAAACCATATCGTTTGAAACGGGTACGGGACCGGTCCTAGATTTTGAGAACCGCAAAATACCGGACCGAACCGTTCGTAAATAATGCATTTGAATTTTTATATTTTTTCTATATCAATAGATCTAGACCAACAATTTTATACCCCAAGTATGTATTCAACATGTCCCTAGGATATCTAAAATGTGTTGTTTATATATATATTGCTAGTTTTTCTTTTTAGATAATTTATGTTATATTTTGATATGTATTGAAAGAATATTAAAATTTTAGAAATCATTAATGATTATTTATTTCTAGTAATGTAGTGTACATGACTTTTTGTTGTATCATGTTTGTGCATTTTTTACAATTTAATTAATATGGTTTAAATCTTAGCTCTCAAGGTTCAACTATAAATTAAATTAGAACTACGGAGTAATATTTAACCTAGAACGAAGAAGAAGAACGTTGAAGATTTCTATTATATTCAACAATTTGATGATATTCGTGTTTATATATTCACATGAACTTAGTAAATTAAAAATGATATTTATCTCGTGCATCATCGTTTTGCTATACTTTTTCTTAGTTGTGTTGCACTATTTGTGTATTTGTGAATTTTAGTACTAGGTATGCAATTTCTTGTATTTATTTCAACATTTCATGTGAGTTGGTTGGTGTGATGATATCTACTAATTGCAAGATTTGTTCAAAAAATTTAGCATGTGTTTGGCATTGTATCGTACCGTTTTGTACCGTTCCGAAACGACATGGTACCGAACGGTTCTATCCTTGGAATCGGACCGTACCGGACCGTTAAAAATCTCACGGATACATTACGAGTTTTACCAATTTACCGGACCGTTTCGGACCGCGCCCACCTCTAACAATTATGCTAGGGGTACATGAAATGTAAAAAAGATGTACACAATACAAATACCTCTTAGTTTTTACCATTTCACTTTTATTTTTTGACCCCCTTTCTCTCCCTCTTATCTCCTTCTCTTCTACTCGTATCTCTTTGTTCTCCACCTTTTACCTGACCTCCTCTCACGTAACCCCTATTTCCTCTTGCTTTCTTTTTCTTCATTTTCAATCCTCTTCCCATTTCTCTCTCACGTAACTCCTCTCATGTAATCCCTAATTTGTCTCTGGGCTCGACCATTTTTCTGGAACTATCAATCTTGAGGTAAATATCTATTTTCTTTTTTCATGTGCATTTTAGAGTTTTTTATACACTTTTCTTTATTTCATGAATATTATATATGTTATAACAATAAATAATTGATTATATTATTTTATTGTAAGAGATTTGATGTAATACCCAAGATTAATTTAAGAGGATAAATAGTACTACTCATACCAACGGATGTGCATCACCTTTTAAGGAAGCTCATCATCCAAGAACTCCAAAGTTAAGCGTGTTTGCACGGGAGTAGTCTTGGGATGGGTGACCCCTTGGGAAGTTTCTTAGGGCGCGCACGAGTGAGAACAAAGTGCGCGGTAAAGGCTCATGGTGGTTTGTGAGGGCAGTACTAAAGATCAGAAGTAACTACCTCGGACCCTGCGGAGCCGGGGTGTTACATTTGAGGAGTTAAGTATTACAATTTTAGTGTAAATACTCTAGTTCCTTTTTGCTCATAACTTGTTTGTTGAAATGACTGAACGAACTTTTTGTTCAAAGTAAATAATTAGTTCTCCTCTTTTTAAATTTGTTAATGCACCTTGGTGTTTAATGAATTTCAGATTCTATTTTTTGTTCAAATGCAAGACTTAGAGAACCTTATTTTTTACTTAACTTAAATAATTGACTCTTTTATTCCATAAAAATGTACTATTGTTTTTGAATGATAACACTATCTGATTATTAGAATTTTTAATTTGAGCAACATTTGTTTTTTTATTAAGGCCTCGCTTGGCCGCATTAATCGGCTCATTTTGTTTATCCTTCTTAGTCCATATAATAAAATGATAAGACTATGTAGTAGACTTTGATAAATTGAAAGCCTGTTTGGTGCATAATATTTGACTCATTTTTTTATTGTGAGGTTGTATAGTAACTTTTTGTTTTTATAGAATAATAAGATTAAGTGTCATTTTTGTGAAATATGGTGCTTGTTTTTCTTGTTTGATTCAAAGTGAAATACGGAATTTTGAATAATCAATGGTTGTGTGATTCAAGAGGAGAATATGGATTCCAACTTCTGCTCAAACAACTCTGAATATGAAATCCCCTCCACATGTTGTGCACTAGTAAGATGTATTTGTTGTGAGTTCGTATTTTCAATTGCTAAGTGCAATTGTCTGTGAATCAAACAAGAGGTAGTTAGGAATGTATTAATTTGATTTGATTGCTTATTGATTATTTATCTTAGTGTACAATAATGCAAGGGCTTAGAAGCATAGAAATAAAGTTGGCCAGTGAGTTAGAAGAAGCCAATTGGGTCAGAAGCTTGAAACTCTATTATGAAAGCTAGTGAAATAGGGATGAAGCAAATGATGATTGTTACCGGAGAAGATTGGTCATTTTGTGGAATTGTTTATTACATGTGTTAAGTGATACAATGCTATTTTGTAACTAGTCACATTGTAATGCAAATGTTCTTGTATTTAGATTTGCATTAATTATCAAAGATGTATCTTATTGTGAACTAGACATTGACAAAAAAATGATGACGAAATTAATCATGTGAAATGTCAAGAATGAGAGTTTCAAAGCAAAAGATATCAGATGATTAATGATTTATTATATTTGCCACTAGAATAGACTAATGCGCTAATGTTCTTACTGCAACTTTTTCTTAGTGAACCAGACATTAACTGTTTAGTTACAGACAATGACTACTTGAACGAGCTAATGTACTAAGTGAAAGTGTCTATGAACCTGATATGAAGTGTCTGGCCACAAACAATAGCCACTTAAATGGACTAATAAGCTGATGTGCTAAGTGGAATTGTCTTGTGAACCATACATGAAATGTCCGGTCACAGGCAATAGTCACTGGAATGAGCAAATGTACTATTGAAATTGCCTGTGGGTGTGGCATGAATGGTTTGGTTACAAACAATAACCACTTAAATAAGTTAATTTGCAAATGTAGATGAATTGAATATTTTTTTTTGAAAATAATTTTCATAAAATAATAGCGTAAAATGTAGTCAAAGTAGAACATGTGAATTGTGTGAAATTCAACATGTTGCAATTAAAAAATGGAGGATAGTAAGTAATTGTAAACATAAATCCTTTGGGGTCCTCTGGCTATTGTTTGTGGCCGGACATCTAATATCAGATTCACAGACATGTTCACTTGGTACATTTGTCCGTTCAAGTGGCCATTGTCTGTAACCAGACACTTAATGTCTGGTTCACAAACAATTCATGTCTGGTTCACAGACAATTCCACTTAGCACATTAGCACAGGCTACGTGGAATTCCACTTCTTGTGCTAAGTGGAATTGTCTATGAACCAGACATGAATGGTTTGATTACATACAATCGCTACTTGAACGGACCAATGTACTAAGTGAAAGTGTCTGTGGACATGATATCAAGTGTCTGGCCACAAACAATACCCACCAAATGGTGCGTAGACGGTAGATCTAGGGGAGGGGGCTAGGGACAGGGAGTAGGCGGTCAAGGGAAGGCGAGGGGTTGGGGTGCGGTAGGTGTGGTGGCTTATGGTGCAATGGCAGGGGCGGCGTTGGATGGGAGCAGTGGCGGGTGATGGTTGCGGCAACAAAGTCTCCGGTGACTGGGGTTGTGGACCTTGCTAATGGTGCGGGGCACTCATTGGCCGGGGCGACGACGGCACTGGCAGGTGGGGCGTCGACCATCACTGACTGGTTGTGCAGCCCCTAGTCACTGTGGCGGCTGAGTTCGGCGGAGTCACTGTGACGCGGAGTCACTTTGACCGGAGTCACTGAGATAGTGACTTGCGGTGCCGATGCCGGCGACGGCGACGGATGTGGCGGTGCCGGTGACGGCGGCGGCCACGGAGGTGCTGGTGGCATATGGATTACTAATCAAATGCTACCTCCGTCCCAATTTACTTAACCAAACTTGACTTTTCAAGACACCGACGTCTAACTTTGACCAATTATTTAAGCTAATATATTTATGCAAAATTTAATAATTTTGTACTTTTATGATAGTGTTTTTAACAAAGAACATTTTCATATCATTTTCATATTATCAATACTCTCTCTATATAAACATATAATCGGTCAAAATTAGACGCTGCTGATTTGAAAAGTCAAGTTTGGCTAAGTAAATAGGGATGGAGGGAGTATATAAAAGGAATATTAAAATAGTAAATGTATCATAAAATACAAGGAATAAATGATTTTTAGTCACTTTTTTGGAAAATTTCAAAAGAAGTCACATTTTTGTCTGTCATTCATTTTAGTAATATTGAAATAAAAACGTCTAAATAAAACTGAGTGTTTAAATGAGTGTTTTCGTTAAATTTGATTAAGAGCCCATTGGGTCATGTTGTTTTTTCGGCTTATCAAGCTTATCAGTCATCTTTTTTGTAAAATACGCAATTTTTTATTTCACGCGCTTAATTGTGTAATAATAAGAAAAAATAAAGTTGAAGTTACTATTCAGGCTGTATTAGTTGAAGTTGTTGTA